TTCTATTCACATTTTTGAGTTCAACACAACATTAAGATTAATACCAGTGTAACCTAGACGACACATAACAATGAAAATCAACACTCATTCGTATGCAATTGAACTCACCATTAATTATCCGAAAACAAGAACCAAAGACAACCAACATGAAATCTCTTTGCAACTAATACCAATAAACCAAACTTGTACAGCTGTACTCCACTAATTAAATCTAATCAAGAAATATATGATTTTATTTATGAAACTCAATCAAACCCACCCTTTCTGATTCAGACACACTAATCTAAAACAAGAGATATCAACATTGTTTCCAATTAATTCATGTATAACGAACTCACCATGATTCATTCTGTAGCAAAAAACTAAAAAACAAACATCATGAATAATGGTACCCATTAATTGTTTGGAACTAAAATCATCATTATTTCTTTTATCATCCGAAGCTGAAACAAGAGACACATATATAAAATCGAACAACTCAGTTTAAATCTAACTTACCAGTTTTTTTCTTACTTTCTCACATGAATCTAAAACAACAGAAATCACTGCTTTCTCTTCTTAGTAAGATTATATCGAACTTACCATTATCTTTATACCACAACAACCTAAAAAAGATATATGAATAATGTTTTCTTTTCTCTCAATTAATTAATATCAAACTCACCTGTATTCATTTTATCATGCGAATCTCAAAAAACAAGATATAAATGATACTTTAAGTTTATAGACTTAAATGGAACTCACCATTTTTTATTCTATGCATTATTCTAAAACAAGAAAAATGAATATTGTTTTTTTGTTACTTAATTTATATTGAACTCACCATAATTTATTGCATCGCAAAAAACCTAAAAATAGATATGAAAGATGACTTCTACTAGTTGATCAATATCGCACTTACTTACAGTCATTTGCTCATGTGAACCTGAAAAAAGAGACAAATATAATTTCTGACTTCTAAATTTAAATCAAACTCACCATTCTATACCATATCACATGAATCTAAAACAAGAGAAATGAATATTCTTTCTTATTACTTAACTCATACCGAACTCACCATTAATTATTATATTACAAAAACCAAACAAACAGATATGAATAATGTTTTTGCTTCACTGAATAATATCGAACTTAACACCACATATTTTATCATTCGAACCTAAAAATAATATATAAACAATACTTTTACTTTATAGGAATACATTGCACCCATCATTTTTTTACTCTGTCAAATGAATATGAAACAGAGAGTATCACTATGGCAGTCTATTAGTTATTTAATATTTAACTTACCATCATTATTTTTATTGCAAACACCTAAAAAAGAAATATGACTAATATTTTCTATTAATAAATTAGTATCTAACTCATTAGTACTTATTTCATCGTGTGAACCTGAAACAAGACGTATAAGTCACATCTTTAATATATGGTTTTAAATCGAGCTCAATATTCTTTTATTCCACTCTGTGAATCTAAAACAAGAAACATCAATATTGTTTCTCTATTAAGTAATTTACATCAAACTCATCATGATTCATTGTATTGCAAAAATCTACAAAAAACAAACATGTGAATAGTGTTGTCTATTCTTTAATAAATACCGAACTCACTAGTATTCATTTTCTCATATGAATCGGAAAAAAGTGGTCTAAATATAACTTCGAATTTATAAATTTAAATCGAACTCACCACTCTT